TTTATACGTCAAGCTCCAAATTTATGTAAGAAAAATAAAAATCAAATCACATTTAAAGGCAGAATAACAAAATTTAAAGCCTCCGTTGTACTATTATTACTATGTGTTTTAATGGTTTTATAATAAAATTAGTATTTTTTTGTACAACACATTTTTTATAAAATTAACTCTCTTTATATTATTTAATCAGTGACTTGAAGACACCACATCAGTAGTTATTTATTTTTCATTTCTTATGTTAAAAAGGACTAGTTTTTAAAAAATTATAATATAATGGCATTATTGTTTTTTCCACTTCAGAAATATTTCTTATGCAAGAAAGCATTTATTAATAATGATTGTGTTTAAAATATGTTTATTTTCACAACACAAATAAAATAATATAAATATCCTAATAATAAAAAATCAATTTAGAATATACCTGACTATCTGAATTTATAAACCGTTGAAAAGTGAGGATACAATTTTGAGTATCTTATTATCAACCCTAAACCCTCAAATAATTCACATCAAAAGTGAAAAAACGAGGAAAAAAAAAACAAATTTAGATATTCAATGGAAAAAAAAAAAAACTAAACGCATAATAACTAATTTATGTAATTAGTTATTATGTGTTTATAAGGTCTAATTTTGGTTCACGTGACTTCTATATTTAGTAGGCAAATTCTTCCTTCCCTTTTTGACATTTTTCTGCTATTTCTATCTTTAATTTTGGCTTTGTTTCTTGTCAACAAGGTTGAGTGACAGTGACCAATACCTTATAAATCAAAAATTAACTTCTTTTAATGGCAGACCAATTTACTTTTTATTTATTTATTTTATAAAAGCATTCGACAATATGTACTGTACCATAATTGACAACTTAAAATAATTAATCACATTGTTCAGAGGCCAATAATGGTGTTGAGAGATGAGATTAAAGAAATAAACACAATTTCTCCTTTTTTTCATTCACACATTAAAAGCAAACTCTCCTTTTGGTGTTAGAACATCCAAATTCAACTCTTTTTTTTTTGTTTTTCTAGTTAATATTCTGATGTAAAACTATTTCGATAATGTTTTTATGCTTCAAAACTATTGACTAAAAAGATACATTCACTACATACTTAAAAAGAATATACAAGTAAACTAAAAGAAAACTCATAACATATGAAATATTTTACAATATCATTGAAGTCATAATTTTTTCTAATTACTTACATTTTATTTACTTTTTTTTTTTTTAACGAACAAGGTATTTAAGAACGTTTTCCCAAGTCAAGAAGTACGGTGAGTTTTCTACTGGTTTAGATTTATCAGAAAAGATTGGTGTGATGTATTGATATGTAAGAAGATAGTTAGAAGGTGAAATGGGTGGTGGCGGAAGGAACATGCACAGTCCTCGGGAAGATTTGGTGAGAGTGGTTGGTCATCGTAAGTAATAAAGTAGTAATTTAAGACTGCATGAGAATGTGACATTATTCGAGAGCCTCGTGCATGCAACCTCAAACAACTCGTTTTAGTGTTATTCAAATCACACGCCCCTAAGCTTCGTTACACTTCACCAGTGTCGTAACGTTACTACCTTCACTTAATTGGGGAGACCAGACAACACTTCACATCATCTTTTTCCATAAGCTCGATCGTAAAGTTCTTTTATATTCATATAATCAATATGAGGTTTTTTTAATTAAAAGCAACAAATAGAAAATTTTGAATCACTTAATTGTTAAAATTCTATCAAATAGTTATATGTTTTAAAATGTTAACCTATTTAAGAGTATGTTGGAAACTTTTTTTCTCGAGAAGGAAACAAAAGTTCTTTAGTTAAATTTTATTTATGCATAAATTAATTCATAGAAGTTTTTTTTTTTATATTTTTAATTTATGAAAAAATCATTTTGATATTTATTCTTATTTGTATTTCTTAGAATAAGGCCTTTATAAAAAAGTTTATCCACAGATTCCCTTTTTTTTTTTTCGGGATTATATTCTTTCAAAAGTAATCCTATTATTCAAGAGATAGTGGAGAAGTAAATATGCAGAATCTTTCTGAGCTGGGAGTCAAACATTGATGGTGTATATAAGAGACATGTTTGTTTTGTTAGATTGAATCCTAGTTGGTATCTGTGAAAAACTTTGTACTTTTATATATTAATTTGAACATGTAGTGACTTGGCTAATGTTGTTGTGGAGGGTAATAAAGAAACAAAGACTAAACCAATAAAAAATGGGGCGGTGCCCTTGCCTGTCGAGCCATTCTCGTGTTTCGTATAGCAAAGAGAAGCAAAATGGAAAGGCATTGGCCACATGAACTGATTTGGAATCCTGCAGGGGCCGGGTGCTGAGTATTTAACTTTGCATGCACTTCTGGGGGCACTGACAGTGTTGCCATATCTACACGTAGTAAAATCAAATAACTGTTTTTCAAACTTGTCCAAACTTAGAACAGAAAACTTATAAGGGACAACAGAAATGGAAAGCTGAAGCAAAAATGAGGGAAAGAATTTAGAGAAAGGTGCTCATAAAAAGGAGGGGGTAAAGAAAAAGAGGAATCGGCAATTTTCTACGTCTGTTCAAAACTGTAAAAGGAAATGAAGCCATCTCATTTTAAGGCTAGTCACAAGTTTTAGTTACAACTTACAATGATGTTTATAAGTTGCTTCTCGTATGGAGATTACTAGCCGATAATCAAACCTAAACATTGCAAAGATCCTCATCAGCTTAACCAGTATTTATTAGAAACAAAGAATTGGAGGAGGGTTAATTTTATTCCATTTTAGATAGATATGGATTTTTTTCTCCATACTGAAAGCCATCGAACAATAACGAAACAATGTTTTTTACTCCAGATTCAGGTCATAACAACCTCTCTCAGCTTGCTTGATTACAATAATCCAATAAATATTTAATGGTTGACGGATTCATCGCGAAACGAAATTCAAAATGACAACCCCAACACATTCCCAACTACAAATAAGCATGAAAAACGCATATCGTTGTGATGCTGCAATAGGTTCGAACGGGGATTTATTGAACCACGACGGAACAAAACACCTACAATTTATTGTGTAATTTCACCGGCCTACGATTTTATGCTATTCAAAATTCAGAGAAATGAGTTGTGCAAAGTGAGACCAGGTAAAAAAGAGGTAAAGCATGAATTTAAATATTAAATCATTTCAATGGCCAATCAATAGAATAGGATAAAAAAAATAATACGAGGCCCATGATATCGTGTATATCAATACAAATCTCTTACTAACTTCTTCGAAATCTAAAATATAATGTACTTACAGATTTTAAAATATCTAAAATCAAATAAGGGACTATATAACTGTGTTGAAATGATTGAGATATTTGCTGGACGCTGAAACGAGACATACAATACAACCATGCCAGCTATCAAAAAGTGAAAAGTGTTTTGTGAATGAAAAAGTAAAGTGGATAGAAATTTGTGAAAATAAAATAAAATATAAATTAAATGTTTGATTGAAGAAAAAATAAATGAAAAATAGACTAAAACAATACTATGAAATCCACCTTATTTTCCCACTCTTCCATTCAACCAAATAACCAAACACTTTTTCCACTTCTATTTTCATTTCCTGTTTGCATGCTACCCAACAGGATATAAGAATGAATTGCGATAACATTCCGTCCAGCTTCATGGTCAATCAATAGTGATGGGCTTAATTCAAGCAATCAGGGGAAGAGATTTTTAGTTTTATATTTTTAAACTGGAAACAAACAATAAAAGTGTTGATGGCATTGTTTCAGACACCAGAGTTCCACATAGATTATATATAGCCTATCATCAGTGCAAATAATGATAAACATGAGAACATAATGGTAACAGTAGTTTTTTTCTTTCCCCCGAATTTTTCAGCGTTCCCGTCTGAGCAATTCAATTCTGAACATATAGTAATAATATTAACATCTATTCATCAATGATGGAACAAAGTTGATTTGAAAATACAAATGGTAGTAATTAGATTTAATCTATTCAGCTAGCTAACCTGACCACAAAACTGTAGGTAAAAAAATTAGTATTTTATCAGCAATGAACCGAATCTGACACCGAACTAAGAGAGACCTGTACAGTAAGCAGCTGAATTTAAACCTTCTTAAACCGATTCCGGATGAATTGACGCTGATAATAACGGCAAGCAAGAGCAAAAGGAAAAATGACAAAAAAATATGTATTTGACTGCAAATTTCCGCCAAACCATTCGCTGTAGTAATGGGCAGTTCCTTCAAATAATTTAGTTGAAATTGTTTGACTGATGTCTTGCGACTTGCTTCTGAAAGAAAACAAAGCAGTTGGAGCCTCCAGCCATGAAAATAGAGTCAGTGGATATAGCATATTAATATACAAGAATATTATTGGAGCTCATGTCTACTTCTTACCGTTAGTTAATGTTTACCTTAATTACGAATAAGCTCATATTAGTAAACAAGTTACCTAGGTAATATCTCAGGGTAGAAAAATTCAAGCCATAATTTATATTTCAGATTCTTACAATTGAAAAAAATATTTAATTTATAAGGGTAACGAACCATATTAACATCCAACAGTTAAAAATCAATTAATTTCTATGAATATCTTACACACAAAAATCTTAAATGCTTCAAGTAACTATCAACGACAACTTCACAACCATATTATTCATGGTCAACATAAATTTCCACCCCAATTGTATTTATTTCACAAAAATATAGGCTCATTATCATTTTCACCAAAAAATTCCAAGGTACTAGCTATACAATGTTGAAGATGAAGAATGATATTAAAAGCAATAATAAATTGTAGCTAAAGCCTCAATAAAATCATGCAGTCCATCTATTAAGCAACAAGTATCAACAAAATAGCAGCATGTACCAAAATATTTTACCCCCAACAATAGAGGATTTCAATTCTAACCTATAAGTTGTACAGTAAAAACTAGTAAATATAAAATTTCTAGTTAGAATTATACCTGCATTAGAACAAAGTGTAATGAAGAAGATGCAGATTTCAACTACTTCCATGGCTGTGACAAAGAAACTACAGGAGTTGATGCTTCAAACCCTTTTTTCCCTTGTACAGCAGATTTCAGCACATTATATTGTTCAGTCACAGAATCGTACAGGGCTTTTGTGAAGACCTCCTTAGCCTACAAAAAAACCCACATCGCACCAATCAAGTTGAAGAAAAAAAATCTTGCACATAATGAATTTCATGTATCAAAGCACTTGCTCAGATTGCTACAACCAAAAACCATTCGTAAACACGAGCAAAGAACCCAAGGATACAGAATACTGGCTTTATTTACATATATCCTTTTGCTTCAGATTCGAATCATACGGTGTTTCATCACATTAAAAACTACACTCAATTTATGGAACCGCAAATATTTGTAGGTGTACTTACATCGCAAAATGCATTGGCCCAAACAGTTCCACTAGACAAGAGGTTAGGAAGTTTATAGGTTCACATGACTTAAGGTATTGTTATTTTGTAATTCAAAAGTGTTGTGTAATTCATACGCCAACTCATTCAACAACTTATACATTAACACGCCTCTCTATCACAGTCCTCATCACATCCCATACTTCTCTCTTTCTCTCTTTGTAAAATTTGTCATACAAATAACATCTGTACTTAAATTGTTTAAAAAACATTTCATATTGCATCACATTCTCAAGCAGTCACATCTTCTCAGTTTGAATATAAAAAAAATAACTAGTGCATTCTAAAAAAAAATTGATAGAATAAATGGCAAAATAAATTTAATTCAGTCCAGGTAATCAAACCCAACTTACTTTTTCAGGATTTTCACAAGTAGCAGTAATTTCAGAAAAGCTTATCCCCGGTGCCACCGATATGCCAGCACCATGAAAGGATATAATTCTTTTCTCCCCAATTTCTTTTTCAACCTGCAAAATTACATGGTCGCAATAAAATTAACATAAAAAAATCAGGACAGACTCTCCAAGTCAAGAATGCCATACCTTAAGCGGAGGGGGCATTATATCATGGCACAGTATCGTCAAAGGATATACATGACCTGGTGGACCTGAATGTTCAACAAGTCTTCGCATATTATCTACCGAAGACATATCAAAGGCCGCCTGAATATTAATATGGCAAAACATCAAAAAAATGGTAATGTAATATATTATGGAGCTGGAAACTGTGCAATATGTTTATTTATAACTTATGACACTGGCATATCTCAAGTTCATCATCATTCTATATGACTACTGGAAAAAAAAGTTAGAACATTTGTTTACACTGGTAAACTGATTGCACTCACAAATATAACATTGGATTTGTACAATAGGCAAAGAAATACCGCATACTTGTGAAACCTTTTATAAATACCTTATGTACAAGCACCAACCTGACCTTGGATACAGTCCTTCAAACTAACCTTCCTAGGTCGAAATCAATTTCTCTTACAAAGAATGAAAGACAAATTACGTGCAAAACAGCAAAAGGGTAAAACAACTTAAAATGGAAGTACAATTATAACGTAAAACACAGTAGTGCAAGAATCTACAGCCCAAAAAAATCAATATTTGAGCCAGAAATCAGGATTTCATTTCTAGTCCCCCCCCCCCCTCCAAAAAAATAAAAAATCTATAGCCCAACAAGTGGAATAAGGTTTCACTGTTGTTGTATCAAACACTGAATCAGATAACATTTCATCATTTTCAGAAATAAAAAAAAAAACTCAGCAAACTTTGCAAACAATTTATTGTGCTTAAATGGAGTACTATATCTGACTCACATCCAGCAAACTTCACAAACAATTGATTTTGCTTAAATAGAGTACTATATCTGACTCACATCCTGCTTGCTTCTAAACAAGAAACATCCCCACCTAACTTGTTCCCTTTTTAAGAATATACTCTAATAGCATATAACCATAAATACCGAGAGTAGGAATACCCTTCAGGAAGTATCCAATATTGTAGCTCTAAATACCAATACAATCTTTTCAATAATTATATATATGAGACGGAAACAGGATAAAATAAATCAAACTTATCCTACAAGTTAAAATTGAATGCACTTCGATCTTTTTAGATGGTTTGCCATTTAACTTCAAAGTTGAGGTACATAAATTAATTTTAATCTATAAGAGAAATCTGATTTATTTTAACTTCTATTTTCTTTTACTCCAAGTAGTTTCCAATCTGTCCTCTAGTCAACGTCAAAAGCTATATTTCTGTAAATGATGGATCTCAAACGTGACAGGTTTGACTAAAATAAAACAGAGATTTATATTTTACTTTAACAAGAGGGTGAACTCACCGGCACCCAATCTCTAGTCTGGGCATCTGGGCGATCCCTACCACCACTAGGGGCAATCCAGACTATCTGCGATCCATTCCTGTATGAAAAGGCCAAGATGATGGACATTTGACCAACCAATAACCATTACATACAAAAAACACTATATTACGTAAACATCCATACTGCTGTTATTTGTTTGCAGATTTCAGGGAAACACCACTCAATTTGAACCATTATGGTCTGAAGAGTGGATTAGGGGCATTGGTTAATAAGCATGCACTCAAATTGACACTACGATCTGAATAAAGTGTATCGGGGCATTGATTAATAATTAAGAAACCCTGTTAAATGCCTCAAATTATCCAAGAGGAAAAAAGTATCAGATTATTTGTGTTTTTGAATTTCGATAAATAAATACTTATATTTTTCTTCCCTTAATCAGTACCTTAAGGCCAATAGTTACTTTATCCAAATAAAAGCAGCCATTTAGCCATAAACTAGGGGATATACCTTAAAAGCATAGCCATTTCCTTCAGAGCTCGTATGTTTGCAGTTCTTTTCATCTCTACAAGTGCTGGATCATCAAGCATGTGTTTTTTAGAGTAAACACAAATCAGATTCCTATTAAAACAAAAGTTTTGGAAGACAACTTCGTGAATAGAAGAAAATATAACATCATAAATCTTTAATTTGATAAACAGAAGTACAAAATGAACCTGCCAATACTGAATGGTTTGCACAAAGGATCAGTTATAACTCTATCTCCTGCTACGTAGGTCTTCAGAACAAACAGAACAGTTCAATTACTTCAAGGATTATAAATATGTACAACCTGTGCTTTAAAATAGCCAAACAATAAATATGCAAACTGTACCAGGTTTTCAGCAATATATGGGAGTCGTGTTTCAAGAAGCAATGCAATGATGGCTGGATCAGCTTCAGTTTGGTGATTTGACATCAAGATTATGTTGTGTCCCTGCAGTAATTTTTTTCATTCTTTCAAGATTTTCTCCCACATCAATGAAAATGTTAACATTTGGCAAACATACACAAGAACCTACAATTTGTAAATCAAGTTTTACATTTCATGCTAAGTACTGGACATTTCTTTTCAGCATTCTATATCTGATACACAAGTAATAAGCAGTACTCACTGGAAAAGTTATATAAATACAGCAGAACCATTAGAAACTTCAATTCAGAATCTAACTTTTACTGGAAGACCAGGAGAATCTTAAAATGATGCTATTGGTTTTCTGGTATAATACTAATGCATATACACAATTAAGAATAGTCAATAAATGAAACTAACCTAAAGAGCAATGTTAAATCGGAAACAATCACATGATTTGGGTCAATTACCAAAATCTAGATCTAAGATTTAAGACAAAAGGCATGTACACATCTAACAAACATAAATTCCTAGTAGGTTGTATGCCTCATGCATAAATACCTTTGGGTTAAGATAGACTTAACAAAGGTGGAATACTAGACTTTAGATTACTACCCTCACCCTATTTGGTGAGATAAGGTTATTACAAAATTCTACCAATACTTTACAGCAATAATCCCTCAATATGAAGAAAACATATTAGATATTGGCACCTGCTTAAGTTTCTCTTCCATTTCAATGAAAAGGGGCATGTTGCCAACATAAGAATTTCTGCAACAAAAATATCACCTTTAAGAATAGGTTTGAGGTGCAGGCAAATGGAATAGACATTGTCTTGATATAAGTTGATTATATACGGGCATTTAAGTGCCATTAATATAAACAGGGCATACAGATTGCTACATCTCAGAATTACAGTTAAGTGTTTTAGATAGCTGTTAGTAGTACCCAGTTCTATCAAATTACAACAGAGAAGCCTATTTCTGAAGTAATTTAGCATGGTTCCAAACCTTTAAAATATATTCAGAAAAGGGAATATTGAATTCATTTAAAACCAATAACTCTTACTTCTCTAGCTACAACCAGGAAGAATCAAGTTAACTACTGGTAAAAACCACACATAAAATCATATGTAGGGAATTACAGTTGAACAAGAGTCATTATGCATGTTCATGCATCACCAATTCATAATAAATCTCCATTTGGGAGCATATAGAAAACTGAGAAGGATGTCCATAACAAGGCACACAAAAATGTAGCAAAGGAAGGTTTTTCAATCTTACTTTATCATTTCTATCCGATGGTTAACCACAGGAAGCTTCCAAACAATCATAAATGTAATTAGATAGTGGTAGGCACCCTGTTCCATGTGTCATAATCTCATTTGTCTTGTGATCCAGAAGCAGGTGAGTTAGTTTGTCTATTAACAACCTATGCAGACTTTTCTAGAAGAAAATTTGTACTCATAAAAGTTGCAAAAATGAAGCAGAATTTTTAAAGATTGGGAAAATAAAAAACCTCAGCACTCTTGCCCTATATATTATAGTTTGACAGAACAGACCAACACAGGATTAGGCACAATAAACCTGCAATCCCTCATTGTTCAAGCCTCACGATATTTACAGGCGAATCCTAGGAAGATAACATCTTAAACCTTAAACATGTCTTCAACACACCGCAAACAATAGTGTGTTCCACTTACAAGCTTCACCAGGAAACTCTATCAATCAGAATATTAACTTCCATATTTATTTACATTTACAAGATTGATCACTCATTTTACTTCAACAAAAATTCGTCTCTGAAATCTAAATGTTAGTTGTCTTACCTACACTCCAACGTATTATGGGATTTCACTAACCACCAAGCAAAAATTCATAGAGATCAAAGGGCTCAATCAACTATTGGAAGATGGAGACTCCTGGATTCATACAGGATATGCCTTATTCACAAGTACATTGTATTTGTAGTTTGAACACCATGAGAAGAAACAGTACAATCATCACAACTGCATTGCTATTGTTCTTGATACCATTAGCTTCAACACCATGTGTTAAACACGTCACGACTTGAAAGTTCCAATAGGGCCTGTACATACACATTGCATGTTAACTTTACCCCTCGTCCCCACAAAAGGAAAAAACATAATCCCTTGGTATATGGACACTATTTGCATTAACCTCGTAAATTTCCTAACACATTTTTCACAAATTCCTAGGAAACTAACTTATTGTAGTCATAAACTTGCTAAAAATACAAATGCACAATTCAAGGATATAACTCTCATGTACTAAAATTCTAATAATCATATGAATAGGTGATCGACAATAAAATGCATAGATAAACAAATTTGATCGCTGACAAACAGTAGAATGCAGAGAGAAACTCTTGCTTGTAAACTCACTTGAAATCAACTAAAGGACGGATATAATTCTGACCAAACACGTAGTAGTCAAAAGGCTCTCTCTTTGCCTTGTGGTGTGGTTGAAAGACAAAAGGATCCTGTTAAAGACAATCATGTTCTGAGGATGACGACTAATAACATGAAACAATATCAAACTAAATCTGCATTAATCAATAATCTATGACAAATTCCTAAATAAAAAATTCCTAGTGTGGAAACAATTAACAAAGTATATTCTAGAATTCAATCTTACTGTCACATCCAAAAATACACGATCTAATAAAGCAATCATATTTGACAATACAATCTCATTTGCCTTGGGATCTCCACTTTGGATGACCTGAAATTTCATCGCACAGAAAAGGAAATTATCTAAGTTATTTGACTCCTTTAAATGTTAAAATGATAAAAAGAGAACTAGTATATAACTAAAGCTAACTAACCCGTTTTTGGGAATTATAAACTATACCCACTCTAAGGCTAGTAAAATACAGGTAACAAGTAAATCATGAAAAAGACAGATTTTATCGGTCAAAGCATAAACATGCATGTGAGACAAATAACTCAATTGCTTGTGTTTTGAATAACAATGATTTGTTATTGGAATTAATAATTAAGTAATCAACATTTTACAAACAAAATATTAAACCATTATTAACTCAGTAACGTAGAAAGTACCAAACACCAAAATTATAATAAACTGTGTCAATGCATGAAATAGAAACAAGGATAGATGACAGCGACAATAGACAGAACAATATGCTTGAAGGACATGATTTGTGAAGTTCAGTTTCATTGTGACTTATGGAAAAGTTTCCTAATATGGTTTATATGACAGTGCAAGATGCACACGTATATAAACATTGGACATGTATGTAAACTTACTGCATTTTTATAGTTATTGTACACTTCTTCCATTCCTGCAGCAACATTAGCAGGCAGAGATCCAGCCTCTACTTCTTTCTTGATTCCAGCAAAAATCTCTGCAAAATAAACAATGAATTAAAATGATTTGATTCAAGGTTTGTCAGAGCATCTTAATCCCATATTTTCTCGTGAAATAATGGACAAGCTCAAACTTGATAGATTGTTATGAAAAAGAAGTTGCAGCTCAACCCAATTCAGAAAAAAGAAATAGTTAGGTAAACATGCCATTGCTATTTGTTTAATACTGACTGATCACAACATTCTCCCATTGTTCAACTCTGTAAAATAGAACTTTCCTAATGCCAGACCTCAAACTCCATATTCTGTCAATCAAATTATACATATTTCCTCTTGACAAAATTGCTAATATATATTATCTCGAACTATCAACAGTTTTCATTCTCTACTCTCTCAACTCTCTACAACCATTAAATAAGACAAGACTCAAAACACCAGCCGCACATGAAAAACTAAAATAAAAAATAAATAAAAATACAATAAAATAATTGTTCCCTTTCTCGCCACCTAACGGAACAGTATACTAGAAGAAAAAAAAACAAAGAGAATAAATTAATTAAGCCACCAATTTAACGGTATTTATGTCCAACAACCAAAGCACAAATGTCAATCTGTACTAAAAACATAACACAACAAAAAATAAATAAAAAAAAACTCATACACAGACACAGTCTCCTCAGGTGAGACTCCAAACTTCGAAGCCGCGCTTTCTCGATTCGTTTCATGTTCAACTCAACATTTAAACAAACAAAATACACACAAATCGAACCAACCTCGGCGAGAAAACTCCATAAGAAAAATAAACAAACACAACAAATAAACGAAGAGGTTCCCGATAAACATATAGAGAAGACGCGATGTGAGAAGTGAACCTTGTTCGTTCTGAGCATTAAGGAAGGTGCGGGAAGAGACGGAGGTGGACATGTTAGGGGGAGAATGTTTGGCGGAGATGAGACAGTTATCTTTGGGAGTGACAGAGTAACAGGAAGGCGAAGACACGGTAGAAGAAGATCGGAGAGAGATGGAGGAGGAGGAGGAGGAAGGGTTTGAAGAGAGAAGCGAAACCCTAGGAGTAGTAGTCGTGGGGAAGAATGTGGTTGGCGGCGTGGAGAAGAGGAACATAGTTTTGTTTGAAAGGCGTAGAAGGGAAGGGATGGCTTGTGCCACACAGTAAGCTGAAGAACCGGTCATGCTCAGTTTTCAAAGATCAAAGCCGTGAGAGAGATAGAGAGAGGGGATTCTGTTCGTATGTGGTGAGTGCGAGGGTGGGATTGGCGGGCACACGTGCTTTTCGTCTCCCTGGGACCCACGTGCCATTGTGTGACCCAATGCGTCCAAACACCCAAACAGAGGGACACGTGGAGCGCGTCCAACGGACCCTATACATGAACGGATAAAACTCAACACAACTTTCTTTCTTCACAAGTAATTAATGATAATGGTTTTTTTTTTTTTTGGAAAAGATATTTTATTAAAGTATATTTTTTATGTATCTCACCTCATATAACTCTTTTTTTTTAATAATTTTTAATTAATAATAAAAAATGTATTAGAAATTGCGTTTTGAGTTTCTCGTAAGTTATTATCATAGTTCTCTTGAATATTCTTTCTTGAATTAGTATGAGTTATATATTTTTTTCACGCTTTAAGCCATGTGCCATATACCATACGTACAGCTATCATTTCCTTGAGTTTATCATTCTTCCATTGAATTCCAACTTTGTTTTTTTTTTTCTCCACTTATTTTGTTTAATAATTTTGTATAGTGACATAGTCAATAATTACTTCTGTGCGTATATTATGTTTGAAAAATTCTATCAACACTTTTTTTTTTTATCAATCTCTTAAATGTTTTTTTATCTTTTATTATTGGATAAAATTGATTACAAATTATTAAGTTTATTATATTTCACTTTTTATGAAATAATTTTTTATCTTATTCATGCCATGCATTACAATAAACATAAACTTACAATAGAAAAATTATTTTAAAAAATAAAACACTGTTATTGTATTTTTGTTTTTTCTTATATCAGCTAAAATAATTAAATTATAATTAATGGAAGTAACTTTAATTATATAAATATATATTATTTAGGAAAAAATAATTAAATAAGACTTCAAATTATAATATATAAATTATATTTTTTATTTATTAAAATGAATAAATAATGTAAATTAAAATTGAAATGATTCAATTAATTACAGTTTAGAATGAAATAAATCTTAAATATTTAAAAAATAATAATCTTAATTTGCATCGTATATATATATATATATATATATATATATATATATATATATATATATATATATATTCTAATCTTAAAATTTAAAAAAATGAAAAGGAATTTCCAGTAAATCGATATTGTATATAAAATACATACAGGAGCAAAATTCTAAATAGGCTGAAAATTTATATACATCCTTCCGATAATTATTACTTTCGAACTTTATGGTAATTAATAATATATGCCTAACTCTACATGAACTAAGATCCCTTAAAATGGTTTTCCTGCAACTTGTTGCTTTCTCTATCATGACGTTTTCTATGCTATTTTTTTGCTGTATGGTAACATCTGATACCAAAATTGATAGGAGTGTTTGAAATCATAAAAAGGAAGAAAGAAAAGGAAAATCACTTATGTAGTTTATATATTTGGTAGAGAGGAAACAAAAGGGGAAAAAATGAGAAATACGTAAAAAAAAAAAAATGTTAACTGTTTAATTGAAAATAAATGAATGAAAATGAGAGTAATTAAGAGAAAGGAGGAGAAAATAAAATAAGATAAGAAAAAAAAAGGAGTATACAGAAAAATTATTTGATTGAAAAAAAAATAGTTGACTGTTTGTATTTGTTACTAATATTTATTAATATTAATATTTTGTAACTTTTATTATCATTACAATAAAGAAAATAAATAATATCTATACATAATTAATTAAATGTAACAAAATTATGCAATTCTTAGATTATAATAGTATTATTTTTGCACATTTTTTTGTATTTTCACAAGGGAGAAGCTTTCTGTTATCACATCATCTTTTTCTATTTTCTTTCTACACGTACATCTCCTCCTCGTTCAAACCAACGTCATCTTTTTTTAATTTTGTTTACACATTCTTCTTTTTGTTTCTTTTATCTTTAAAATTAGGGATGGCAAAACGGCTAGGCCCGGCGGGCTGGCCTCAGCTCGCCATAATATGGCGGGACGGGTTGGTGTTTTCAGCCCACCAGCCCGCTTTGGCCTGCCCTGCCAAGCCCGCCAACCCGTGCAGCCAACTCGTGGACGTGGCGAGCTCAGCTACGGCCCGCCTAATTAATAAAAAAATATTTTTTTATTGTAATAAAATTAATTATAAAGATAATATATAAAGTTAAAAATTTTAAAAAAGAATTAAAAAAGTTTCATTCTCACAGAAAATATTCTCCTTCCCGAAATATAACCTTCTCTCCGTTCTCCTTATTTATCCTAAGATCTGATTATATTTATCCTTATTACTTGAATTAAAGGTATAAGAATTACTCAACCAAGTATAATATGAAGTTTTATCAAATAAAAAAGATATAGGTATTTGAATTTTTCAATATAAAAAATATAAATTTTATAAGTTTAACGTTATATATATATATATATTTGTTATTATTTATTATTATATAAATTTTATTATCGTTCTAAATTATAATTTCTTAAAATAATATATTGATTTATATTATTAAATTGAAATAATATATATATATATATATTGAATTATTGACATATAAATAATAATCTTATTATTAAATTTATTAAAAAATTTATTTTTTTAAATTATATGCTAATTGCACAGCCACTAACCCGCTCCTGCGGCGGGCCAAGTCTACAAGCTCGTCATGACTATATTGGCTAGCCATGCACCGCTTTGGCTGGCAATAGCAGGCTGGCTACCGTTTTGCCATCCCTATTTAAAATGATATCAACTCTCAAAAAGAACCGAGGTAACTTGTAGCATTTGTTTTCTTTATATAATTAAAAGAAACCTTCCTTAATTAATAGAAACATCATATTCATATAAAACTATCCATGAAGTTGTTGTAATAGGAAGGGATAAAAGGTTAAAATGTAGGAAAAAGTGCAAGTATTTTAATAAACCATGGATAAATTAATTAAAGAGGTAGATGGAAAGTAAACGTCAGGAGATGTCACATTGCACCATGATAACAGTTTTGGAGACACATATCGGCATGAAGATGATATAATTTTGTTTTATGTTTTAAAAGTTTGTGGGTGATCGATTTAATAGATTAAAAAAATATTTTAATTGATAAAATTGTAAATTTTAAAAAATATTTTTATTTTGTGTAAATTATATTAAAATGAAATACAAATTATTATATAAAATAGAAAATTTTAAATATATAAAATTATATTAAAATAAAATATATTTTAACTAAGGTTTAGATGATTACTTTAAATAAAATAAAATAATATTTTTAATTGATAAAATTATTTTAAATTAAAATATTGTTGTTTAAAGTAAATTTTAAATTGAATTAACAGTATGCCTTATAAGTTAAATAAATTAATTTTAAATTATTGAATTAAATCTTCAAATTAATATCATAATAAATTCTATGTAGTTTTTTTGTATGTTATTGAAAAAAAATTGTTCTTCTGTTGTTTAAATGAATATGAGAAAAAAAAATATAAGTGGAAAAGAGTTATAAAAAAATTAGATTAGGAAAGTTCATAATTGGTTCTCCATAAACAAAAATGGAGAATCCATTTTTTATATATTATACACGTGCTAGAAAATTCTCGTTGAATTAATTTGATTTTCCATTATCAATAATTTTATCATTGTCGATGTTATAACAACTAAGATATATGATTTCAAAATATATTACTACATCTCATTGTTATCTTTTTAACATAAGATATTCATCTTCTAGTTAGTCTCCTGTTTAAGGAAGTTAATCTGTCTCATTCAAAGAAAAAGACTAATAACTATTTTGTCTCATATTCCTTGTTGCCAAAATTGGAATTTCTCTTTAAGACTCTTACTTTCATTAGTCTCACATGAACATGGTCCAAAAAGAGAAAACTAGCATCATTCTCTATTAACGCGAATAATAATCCATTCTCAACTTGTAGAGAATCGATTTTGTGGGCACCAAGAATCGGTTCTCTGCAACTATTATCACTCATAATCGATTCTCTCGTCATTCTAGAATGTAGTTGCATACGTGTGGGTGAGTAGGAATCTTTATTGCATGAAAATGTTTTTCCTCTGTCGACCACTGTTGTAGGATGTCATGCATACTTGGTTCACATGAAGATGGAGAAGAATAACAACGTAAATGAACACTTAATGAACTATATTTCTCGACTCATCTCTTCATTTAAGTATTAACATTTTTTGGACATTCCCTCTCAAATTTACTCTCGTAAATTTATTAAAATAGTTAGAAACAAATATTCACATTTCTCATTCTTCCACCAAGTGAATAATAAATCAACGTAGACAAAGGCATCTAAAAAAGTTAGTTATTGTATTATTATTATTATTATTATTAATAAGTATATTTTATTTTGATTGAGAATGATAGTAATTAAAAAAATTATTAGAATATGAGAGATTAAAAAATAATAATAATAAACAACTAAAATAACAATCATTCTAAAATATAAGGGGTAGTTTTCTAACAATTAATTTATTGAAGTATTTTTATAATTTGAACGTGAAAAAAATGAATTAAAAAAATACTTAATAATTTGTTACATTTAAGTTAACTATAAATAATTTAAAAATTTAACCAATAAAATATTGTCCCTAAAATGTGTATATGATCAATTTCTACAAAATTTAGACTATTATGTCATTGTTGTTTAATATCATGAGAGCACGTGACTTTATAATATATACTTTTTTTCAGAATGAGTTATATATACTTATATACGCAATTGATTTTTATTTATGATGACGTTGAGAACATTTGAATAATTTTTTTGAAAAAGCCATGGTATTCGTGCATAAATAATAATAACATTTACTTGTGAGATAGACAATGAATTGTAACCGAACTCTTAAAAATGTTGAATGGATAAACGTCCATGTGAATAGTGGTTAAAGCATTTTCTTAATGTCTATGATAAAAATTAAGATAATGTAAAGTCAATAAATTTTTTAATAAAGTGACAAAATGTAAT